TGCAACTCTGCACAGTATAGCATATGAACAAAGTTACAATTTTTCACTTGGCTTTCCAGAAGTATCAACTTTGCTCTGAATGCCTTGATAAGTGCAAATAAATCACAGACTAAGTTATTTTCACCCTACAACTTTAAATTCAAATGGTTCATATGGTTTACCAGATCAGCAAAACTGCTAATTTCGAAAGCCACTTGGTATCTAATAAAAGTGGTTCGTGATGGTTTTCTCGGTAAGAAATATATCAATTTCATTCCTGAGCTGAAAGAAGCATGAAATAAACTTTCCACAGCTAAGCCATCGAACTGCAGTATAATATGTCAGGTCAATAAGCTCGGAATCACATTTACCATTACTCATTGGAAAATTAGTTCAACTGGCGCATTTCTGCAGAATTCTTTCGCGGGCCAGATAAAATCACATTGCGGGCTGCATGTGACTCGCGGGCCGTAGCTTGGAGACCCTTGCTCTAAAGTAATGATCATAGAAATGATTAAAAGAAGTTCCAGAACAATTAAGATCAGATGTGCAGTCAGTCACATGACAGTAGTCTTATACATTTCTCAAATATATTCGCTGCAAATATGCATACCTCATACAAATCTACTGCTGAACATCTATCACATTGCACAAAGTCAAAATTTATGTTTCTCAGTATTTTTTAAATATTTACTATACCAAAAATGTTTAAATAAAATCTGAAAGGTAAACACTACTTTCATAACTTAATGTAGTATTATTTTAATATATATAATTGTAACAGAGATAACATAATAGGTCATTACATTAATTCAAGAAAACAATACATGTAAAAAAAAAAAACAGAAGCACCCACTCTTCTGATTACAGATATTGCCCAATTCACATGTTCATAGCTTACTTTGGAGTATATTCCTAGAATATTAACACTACAGGTCCTTATAAGCTCCACAACATGATTATCATTAAAAATATTACATTTGGAATTTAGAATAGTGACTGTAGCCAACAGTCATTATCAAACTAAATCCTTTTCAACTGGCTAAAACCGAGCAAGCTGACTAAAGCATTCTGCTTCTGGCATCTATTCAAGAGCTGCATGATTTTAATCTCAGCCAGGGCACCAGTTATCCTGATGTTTTGCATGGCTTTTCTCAGTTGCACCAATCAAACACTGGGATGGTACAATGATTAGACCATGACCACTTCCTTCTATATCTTTTCAATTTAAAGCAAAGAACCTAAGAGGAGCTACAGTTTTTATTAGAAATGTTTTGTGATATGGTGAATATTTATTATATAGAAGGAAACTTAATTTCAGGCTCTATGCAATTTCAGTTTTTTTTTCCTTGGCACTACAGCCCCAGTGGGCCTAGGCCTAGCTCCATGAACTTCTCCGTTCCCTTTGGTTTTTCTAGATCTTAGACATACGGTAGGACTCCTTGGGCGGGTGATCAGCTCGTTGCAAGGCCTCTACCTGTACACAAACACAGAAAAACGCACACAAACATCCATGCCCTAAGTGGGATTCGAACCCACGATCCCGGCTTCCGAGCGAGCGAAGACAGTACATGCCTTAGACCGCTCTGTTACCATGACCGGCCTGCAATTTCAGTTACACAGTCCTAATAACTCTGCACAGTATATTTGTATCTACATGAGAACATCAAGGCCAGAAAATAAACATGACAACATTAAACCAGAAAAGTGATCAAGACTAGCTCTTTCTGATGGGCCAAACTGACCATAAACTTTTCCTCCAGTGCACCTGAGGAGAGACAGTTTCTCAAAGTCTTATCACTGATCCTCTCAGCTAAACAAAGACACCTATTTCATAAACAGCTCAGAGCTTACGTATAAACTGGCAGCATGATTGGCAGTGGGTGATTGAGGTGTGGAGCTGAAGCCAACATGTTTGCTCGTTCATGCAAAGCCTCCTTTACCATACGATACTGGTCAACATCAAGTTTCATGATTGCTTTCTGAAGATATCGCACTCCACCATGAATCAGTTTGGTGCTCCGGCTGCTTGTCCCTGATGCAAAATCGTCCATCTCTACTAGGGCAGTTTTCAGACCTAAGAACACAGTCTTGTATTGATGAAAAGGGACAACAAGCTCTTGATTAGTTTATAACTGAAGGTGAATAAAAACAAATGCTCTACAATAATCGATACTTAATAATCAGAACCTTGTATAAAATTGAGAAACATTAAATGGGGTTTCCACTGTACATAAAAATGTAATTTTCCTATTTCCTGCTTCTGTTTCCTGTTTCTCACTATGGATCTAACAGAGAACACTCATCAATATTACAAAATATATTGAATACTCATGCATATATGTAGTGAATCCAAGGCTGTTAACACAATGTGCATACTGTAGTAGAGGTTTTTGCTGTATTCTGAACCCTCATGTTCAAAATTATTTTATATTATTTAGTTAGTTAGTTATTGGAGAGGGTGGGTTTCCCCATGCACTTAGACCAGTATTGGTCCATTGTGCTTCCTTCTATGATATTCTACCAGTCTCTATACCCTACTGATAATGGTGCGTACCATCAGTCCCGACCGAGCCAGCAAGTTCTCAACTGGCTTGGCGGTATCCATAATGCTTCCCCCATCTATCAGGAGCCTTAGACTGCTGTTGAGCGGGAAACGTCCTTGAATTTGGCTCAGTGATTTCCTTTGGAGATATGAGGTTCTTTTACGTGCCGTAAAGCTACGACACGGGACCCATGGCTTAAAGTCCCTCCCGGAGGACTTGTTCCCTGAATTTTTCCGCCCTTAAAAGTTCGACGACCTCCGCCGGGTATTTGAACCCGCGTACCATGAGTCATGAGGTGGGAATGTTACCTCTAGACTATGGAGGCCGCTTTCTATTATTTAAGTATTATTGTGTTATTCTTCCTTTAAATTATTAGGTACTATATATTTTGATAATGACATGAAAAATAACCACATTCTGGATGAAGAACACATACTTTTCCATGTTTATTATATAATGGTTAGAGGCATAACTTTTAATAGGTTCACACACATACTTTCCAATGATGGTATGCACTTCCCTGTCAGCAAAACTTCACTTGCATCACTGTGGCTTTGTATCTGCCCACTGCTAACACATGTATCAGAGTTCACTAGTACCAATGCAGAACAGAAGTCATATTCCACCACTGCCTTTCTGATTCTGTATTTAGGGTGAGGTCAGCTTAGTGGAAACTCTCAGAAGTTGTGGGTGTGTAATGTGATATTAACATGTATAAATGATTCTACTGCTTGTATGATTTACTTGCCTTCTTATTTGAACTGTTCAGTTCTATGTGTTAGGAAAGTAATATACACACGAAGCTAATGGGTTCTTACTACATATATGAAAGAGTATACTCTCTTTTTATGGTTCATAGTTAAGTGTGTGGTTATATCAGGTGGTGGTGGTGGGGGGGGGGACTCATGAATTCTAAGTGGCTCTGACAATGGTGTGTTACATACAATATACCTAACTTTCTGGACATTGCATATTGTCTGACATTCTAAAGCAGAACACACCATTTAAGAAACTGGTTCTGCCCATGCCCTCATGTGAAAGTCAAGTGTTCCAAAACTTCCACGGCTTGTACACACTGAATTCATGTGAGGATGGAAGCAAATCCAGGTCCCAAAATGATGATGTCTGATGTAAAATACGGGACAGCACTGATTTCTCAATCAATGAGAAGGCATATTTCATGTTTTACAAGAACTGCTCATCATCAGAGACAAATCTCACCGATTTATAAAGAGAAATTGCTGCTGGAACTGCAGTTTCCAGTTTGATGACAGGGATGATGAGGTGGTGAGGCCCATAATACATGCAAAGGCCATGCCATAGCTCAGGCAGTTAGTTGCTGGCTTCCAACTGCAGCAGCCTGCATATAGTCATGTGGGATTTGTGGTGGACAAAGGGGCACTGGGGTAGGTTTACTTCAAGTACTTCAGTTTCCCCTGCCAATTTGCATTCCACTGACTGTTCTACAATCACCACCATCATCTATCATCTGGGGTTGGTACAATAGGCCAAACAGTAACTGCAGTACCTAGTGGATTCAGTCTCACCCCATTAGAATAATGCACGCAAGATGAAAACAGAGATGGGAAGAAAAGTGAGGAATGAATGCAGACTCTTCTGCACTACAGTTTATTTTACCTCTTGTTACTGCATCCAGTGCACAGCCAGAGCCAGAAGCACCACCTCCAATAATAAGAACATCAAAACTCTCTGTCTGAAGAGACTTGATTTGTTCATCCCTTGTTGGAAGCTGCCTTTTGGCACGCCTTTCCTTTGGTGCTGTAGCTGCATGCACCTGCTCCAACTAAGAAACATTATTACTCTTTAGGTTATATCAGTAAAGCTACATTTGCTCATGTGATTGTGTCGATACATGTACTATGTGTAAGTAATAGGCCGCGCCACAGCTCAAGCGGTTAGTCACTGGCTTCCCACCGCGGCGGCCCGGGTTCGATCTCGGGTCTGGTCAAGTGGGATTTGTGGTGGACAAAGTGGTGCTGGGGCAGGTTTTCTCTGAGTACTTTGGTTTCCCCTGCCAATCTTCATTCCACCAATTGCTTCACAATCACCCTCACCTATCATCTGGGGCTGGTACAATTGGCCAGAAGTGGCCGCAGTACAAGGGACTTAGTCCCACCCCACTAGCAAAAAAAAAAAGAAAGGTGTAATTACATTTTGGTGCGCATATATTGATGCTTCTTCTGTTCACAATCAGTTACACATAGCTTGAACACAGTTATCACATGTCAGCAGTTGTTCCCATTTGAATGTCAATTACGAGTTTTTTATATTACCCAAAAGATACATATCCTTAAATACAGCAGAATACAAATTATCCTAATTTATTAGTGGTTTGCATAACTGAAGATTTGGATAATTGGATTAAATTCTTATAAAAACACTATTATATCACTATTACAATGTACTGTGCTATTATTATAATAATAAAAACTAAAAACTTTGGATAGTCAATATTCTACTGTAAAACATAATCACAGAATTTGGGAAATCTGATCTCTAGGAATGCTATGAATGTTATTTATAAAAACACTTATATGTACTATATGTAGTGCTGTGCAAGCAGTGGATACGGTAAATGCAGTCAATTCAGCAAACCATGTATCTGACAAGCAAATATACTGTTAAATATTCTTTTTAAATTCCCCACTGTTCCTCTTAGGAAACTTACTGACCACTCAATCACACAGTTATTGCAGGCATAAATCTACAAACCATTACTTTCCTTTGCATTTAATTACATATTCACCTTACTAAAAAGTATCAAATAAAAAATGTAGATATCAATAAATTCTTCATTTCAACAGATGTCAGAACTCTGTCAACACAACACAGTATATAATCAATCGAGTTATATAAGTTTGTTTTTCCATTTTCATTCAACTACATGTTTCAGCCTGACCAGATATCCTCAGGTTGATGTTACATCCAGTTTCTTAACTCTTTTTTCCATCCATTGGCCAATGTTTATTATTTTGTGTAAAACTGGTGGTTATGAAGTTTCACGAGTTTATAAAAACTTTGTCAACAGCTAAAATGTTACAAATTAAGAAAAAATTAAGACTATAAAGGAAATGTGTTGATCTTTTGTAATTTTGTTACAGGTTGATGCATCATTCATTTATTTATTAATTTTCCATAAATCCATACAGAAAACAATTTCATAGGATGTGGAAATAGTCACAAATAAAGCAGTGCAACGAACATATAGTCATACACATCAGGAAAGTACGTAATGAAGCAAGGATCAACATGCACATTACTTAATATAACAAAAACAATTCTTAAGTTATTGTAGTATGAAGTTTATACTGAGATGGCTGCTACGGATGTTGTGTTAGAGTTCGTTTCTCACCATTTGGATCAAGATTTTTATGTTAGGGAAGTAAATTGCTGTGGTAACTGCTTGAGACTGAAGGACTATCTAAATATTTTATTAATGGAACTAAAATCTGCGCATCAGATTATCAAGATACTGCATGAGGATCAAAGAAATTCACATAACCTCAAAAATCAAGTAAACTCTCAAAACTTGATTCCTAAGGTTTCAGCCCAAGTGAGTCAAACTAGTAAGAAAGTAGAAAAAGCCAAACATAAAATCAAAATACTTGGTGATAGTCATGCAAGAGGATTGGCAAATGAATTGAACTATAAATTAACTCGTGACTTCGAAATCCAGGGCGTGACGAAACCTGGGTCAACATTAGTGAATTTGGTAAATACTTCTGAATCGGACCTAAAGGCTCTAACAAAGAGAGATGTTTGTATAATGTGGGGTGGCTCAAATGATGTTGGGCAAAATGAATCTAACATGGGAATTCGTGCTTTGAAACATTTTATAAGTTCTCATAAACACACAAATGTTGTTGTGCTGAGTGTACCCCAAAGGCACGATCTTATTCCAAATTCCTGTGTAAATCATGAAGTTAAAATATTCAATAAAACTCTAGATAAATTAAAAAAGGCGTTCCCAAATCTTTCTGTGATAACAGTGGGTTCTGATAGGGACCTCTACACAAGACATGGGCTCCATTTAAATGCTCATGGTAAAGAGTATGTAGCAAATAAAATCGTTGCTGTGATAAATGATCTGTTCAGACAAAAAGTGTCACCTCCTATTGTTTTAAATTGGGAAAAAAAAGGTGACATGCCAAGTTACTCGATTGAGAATCAGTCCCTGTGTGTCAAGGATGTTGATGTGAGTGGTTGTAAAAAAACGTCCCAGCTCCAGTCTCATCAAAATGGTGACTTTGTGGACTGCAGTGAGTGTGATGGGACCATTGAGGCAAGTGAAGTAAATCAAGCATGGACAACCCAGGTATCTAAAGAGAGCATCTGTTCAGCTAGGGAGGATGAAGAGAGTATTAGTACAAATATGGGCAATAAACAGATTGATTCAACTTGTGAACAAATAAATTTAAGAGAAAGTGATGATGACCAGGATAAGCATAAAAGGATTGCATTGCCCTCAAAGAGAACTCGACGTCCACCTCAAAAACGAGATAAGGATTTTTTATGGTAGATTCATGGTGTCCTATTACCTGTAATTCTAGTAATGATGGACCACAAAAATTACAAAATTTGGGTATTTTGCATCATAATATTCAGAGTCTGGGAAACAAAGTGTTGGCTTTAAATGTATTGTTGAGTTCGTGGTCACTAAAGCCTGCCATCCTATGCTTCTCAGAACATTGGCTTCATAAAGACCATCTTTTACATATAAATATTAATCAGTATAAATTGGTGGCAAATTATTGTAGAAATTCAAACAGATATGGGGGCACTTGTATATTTGCCTTAAACGATCTAAAAATTAGAGAGCTTCCTTTTTTAAATAATCTAGCAAGGGAAAAGGTATTTGAAATTTCAGCCATTGAGCTAGTGGATTTTAAAATTACAGTTGTTTGTATATATAGATCCCCAAATAGTAGCAAGGAAATTTTCCTTGAATTGTTAGACGAAACTTTAAACAAGCTATTAACAAAGGGGCGTCTTTTAGTGTTATGTGGGGATTGGAATATCAATTTATTAGAGGAAAATACCCACCAGAAGGCTTTACAAAGTTTATTGATATCAAATAATCTACAAAACACGGTTTTATGCCCAACTCGAGTTACTTTAAATACACGTTCCTTGTTAGATGTTATGATTAGAAATAAAATATTTTACCACTCAACCACAAAGGTTGTAGAAATGGGATTTTCTGACCATTTTGCGTTGGTCATGAGCGTACTTGTACATAGCCCTTCCACCTGTTCAAAATATGTTGTGAAAAGGATTTTTTCAAGAAGAAATATTGCAAAATTTAATGATCAACTAAAAATTGAACTATGGGACGAGGTCTATTCTCAATTTGATGTAAATAGTGCCTATTGTGTTTTCTTAAGTAAGTTTCTTAAGTATTTTCTGCATATCTTCCCCTTAAAAAAGGTCTTTAGCAAGAAAGGGAAAAAATCAGGCTGGATCACTCAAGGGATAAAGGTTTCTAGACAGAGGCTGCAACTATTATATCTGTTAAAAAGAAAGATGGCTCTGTCTGTTCACACCTTGAACTATATAAAAAAATATCAGAGAATTTATAAAAAAGTAATTTCTGTTGCCCGTCAAAGAGAAAATGACCAAATCATTCAAAGATCAATCAATAATTCTAAAACTCTATGGCAAATAATAAAGAAGGAGTCAGGAAATGGCTTTACAGAAATTGAAAATATTTCATTAGAAATTGATTCTATGCTAGTTACAAATCCCCAGGATATATCCCATCAATTTAATGAATTTTTTGTAAATAGCGTGGACAGGTTGATACATTTAAATAGAAACTGTAAAAATGATCATGCCACTGTAAATGATATAATACTGAACCCAAATGTGTTATTTCTTGTCCCTGTTACTGAAGAAGAGGTTCTAAAGGTCACCAGTAAACTAAAAACAAAAATCTCAGCGGGTTTTGATGAGATCCCGGATATGATAGTTAAACAATGTATCCAATTCATAAAAAAGCCTTTGACTTTTATATTTAATCTGTCACTTAGCTCTGGTATCTTTCCTGATCAAATGAAGATTGCAAAAGTTCGACCCATTTTTAAAAAAGGTCAGAAACAAAATATTACCAATTATAGACCAATTTCAATTTTGTCTGTATTTTCCAAAATCCTTGAAACACTAATGTATAATAGAGTTGTAAACTTTTTAAATAAATTCAAATTGATATCGAATGCTCAAAATGGTTTCAGAAAGAATAAATCCACATTTACTGCAATTCAAACTTTTATTGGACAAATTCAAAAAACCCTAGATAATAAACAATTTGCTTTTGGTATATTTTTGGATCTGTCGAAAGCTTTTGACGTTATTAATCATAACTTGCTGCTTGCAAAGCTGGAGTTGTATGGACTGAGAGGAATAGCTCACGCGTGGATGAGATCGTATCTCACCGACAGAACCCAGTTTGTTGAAATTCACCATATGGATCAAAAGACCTTTAAGATAAAGACACTTACCTCATCTCTTAAGGCTATTAAACATGGTGTACCTCAGGGTTCTGTTTTAGGACCCCTTTTATTTTTATTATTCATAAATGATCTGCCCCGAATCATACAAAATGCAGAGGTAGTATTATTTGCGGATGATACTAATATATTAATTACTGGAAATGACATGTTATCATTAAATGAAAAAATTCAAAATGTAAAGAATCAATTAGAAAAATGGTTTTATGAAAATCATTTAATAATAAACACTGAAAAGTCTAAGGTAATTTTTTTTCGGGGAAGTAGATCTACTCCAATTATTAGATCCATTTTTTCTTTAAATAATAAGGAGGTAGTTTGTTCATCAGATGTAAAATTTCTGGGTATTTGTATTACTGAGGATTTAAGTTGGGCAACCCACACCCAATATGTTTGTAAAAAACTTAGCAAGACTCTTTATTTGATTAAATCTTTACGGGACTCTGTGAGCCAATCTGTATTAAGAAATGTGTATCTTGCAAAGTTTGAGTCCGTGTTGAAATACGGTATTATTTTTTGGGGTGGGGTGAAAAAGGACTCTGAAACTCTATTTAAACTACAGAAAAAATGTTTAAGGGTGGTTAAAGGTGTAAGAAATAGAGTCTCCTGTAGAAATTTGTTTCGAGAATTTAAGATTCTAACAGTTACTTCCTTATATATATTTGAGATTTTATGTTTTATAATAAAAAATAGGATATATACTACCCAGTATTCTGACGTACATGGCTATAATACTATTCATAAACACAATCTGTATGTTCAATTTTGCAATACTGAGCGCTGCAAAAGAGGGGTGATTGGTATGGGAACCAAAATATTTAATGGCCTACCGACTGAACTAAAAAGTGTAAATAATTTTAATGTTTTTAAAAAGAAGCTGAAAAATTATTTGTTGTGTAACGTCTTTTATTCTCTTCAGGAATTTTTTAACAACTGTTGATATGGACTGCTTGCTGACAAATAAATCTGTTTTAGATAAATTATTTATATGTACAGGAATATGTTTTAAATAGTCTGTTTGTATGTTGTAAACAATCTGTATATATTTTTTAAATATTTTCTCTAGTCTTAGGTATTTATTATTTATTATTCTATATTCATGTACTTTGAATGTTATGCTTGATGTAATGTTGTTGTTATCTGACATGTCCAACTGTAATTTCTACAGCTATGGATTAAATAAATGAATTGAATTGAATTGAACATAATAGTACTTTAGTAATAAAAACCTAGTAAATAGCAACAAAGCCATGGGTTCATTGTTTTTATGTATGTGTCTATGTATTTTGACATGTTCTATATCCTATGGCATGCATGACCTGAAAAGGGTCTATGCAATTTAAAGTAAAGTGAAAGTGAAAGTGAAAGCAATAACTACAAATACATTCCATCAAATATATGTACATATATGTAAAATCATCCCAATATAACAATACAGTCAATAGTACTCAATTTTTGCAGATATAATACAAATATCTTTTAAAGAATTCCTCCAATGTACAGAAAGAATTTGAATACAGAAAGTTCTTTAAATTGACTTAAAACTTTTCTGGATTATTAGAAATTTCTTAAGGTTATAAGGAAGTCCATTAAAAACCGTTGCTGCCATGTGATTTACTCCTTTACCATATATTGCCAGGTTAACTTGGTATATATGTAAATTAATATTTTGTCCGGTTTTTATTCCATAATGACCCTTATTTGTAACAAATTTTGTTTTTTATTACAAACATCATTAGTTAATATATACAGGGTGTTTCATGACCTTGAGGTGATTTCCTAGGTCTTTGTAGTCAAAAAAGTCCATATCAACATGTGTCCGATTTTGGATGGTTATGGAGTTATGACTGTTTTAAACTCAGAATAGAAGGTAACGATTACTGACAATAAACGGAACAAAATAATAAACCAGCATAATACATGATACATTTAAAGTATGAATGTAAAGTTAACTTCGTGAAATTGCCTTTAATTTTAATTTATTGGTGCTTAAAGCTGATTTTCGAAAATGCCACCACCAGCCGCAACACAGGCTGCCGCTCGGTTGTGAACCGCACCGGACATACCAACCCACCCCGCCTTAGACACATCTCAAGTGTCGAGATAACAAGAACGCTCTGTCTGTAGCTGGCTAAAAATAGCGACCCACCAGCTGACAGACGCGGTTCACACGGGGGCGTGTACGGGAATGAAAAAACGGTCATAACTCCGTAACCGTCCAAAATCGGACACATGTTTATATGAACTTTTTTGATCACAAAGACCTAGGAAATCACCTCCTGCAGTTATGCCCTAAAGTCGTGAAACACCCTGTATATTATTTCTTCTACTTGCATTGCTGTTGAAACTGTTATTCTCAGATCTCTAAGTTGCTGCTGAAAGTTACTTATGTCTGAGATACAAAAGCTAGAAATTTTTGTTGGATGTTATTGTATCACATATGGACTGGAGTTTTTCCTTATGTATTATCCATTGGATTTGCTCATTTCTTATTGATATTCTTTGTTTGTGGTGCGATTTTCTGCAATTTTGTGCATGGTATGTTTCTATCTTCTTGTTCCCTTTTGCCTATTATGGAATGGTACAGTTTTTGTTGTTTGCTTTGTTTTGTATGGATCCTGTTGCTGAGTATGTATGTGTGTGTGTGTGTGTGTGAGTCAAATCAAAATTAAATCTATCTTACGCCTTTCATAGACACCCTTATCAAATTTCATCAAAATCTATTCAAGTTTGGAAGATGAAATGAGGCCACAATGATACAACCTCTCCACTACTTGTTCATTGTGGGCAAAGAATATGTAAGAATAAGTCACTGTTGGATTAAGCTGGCTATGTGGATTTACTGGGTTTTGTACTTTGCTCATTGTCTCGTATTCTAAAGAATATAACATTTCACAAACAGATCCAGTTTCTGATATTGTGTTCTTAAGAATATCAGATAAATCCCAAGTGTTATACATTACTGTTACAGAATCTACACAAATTTATGTTAGGTTAGCAACTATAAGAAAAAGTGACATTAATGACAGCAATAACACTAATATACATAAATACAATAAACATTACAGCCCCCAGATACTTTCAGTTCATAATTTCTCTACTGGTCTTCACAAGGTCAGCTGTCTGAAGTGTCAAAGAGTTGTCAATCTTGTAAGGTATGCAATTTTGATTGTCTTATTAGTGCATTATTATCCCAACATTAATTTTTGATGAACAACATATTTATTTACACAACCAGAATTATGCAGTTTTTAAATATCAAGTTCAGAGGTTTGATTTGCTGACCTTAAAAAGAAGTGTGTGGCAAACTGTCAAGTATAGAACATTATCGAAAAAGAACTTCATTATATTTCACACAAGCATAATGTGGGTCTTTGGCTTACATAAAACCACAAATATGACAATTTTTTTAGGATCCTTTCATGCAACAAAGTGCCATTTCTCGCAAGTTTGAAAGCTTTGCTACTAAATTCCTAAATGGTATTCTGAGAAAGACTTTACTGAGACCTCCTCCAAAGTCTAAAAACTCACTAATTTATAAACTACGTCTACAAGTTTGTGATAGTGACTAGCTCTATGGATTGAGCTCAACTGAGTAAGTTTCACCTGAAGACAGAGACAGAATCCAGTCTCCGAAATGCTGTGTTTTGAAAAATAAACAGGACAGTGTTTTTAGACAAAGACAGGATGATGGATAATGTAAAAAAACATAATCTTTGTTCAGTGAATTATAATTCTTAAAGGATGATATTAGATTTGGACAAACGTTTTCTTCCAATATGAGTAGTCTGAGGGATCTGACCACCTGTGGAGGTCAAAGTCAGAAAATTGCTTCAAAAATACCTTGTGGATTTCACTGACACAACCTATACCACTAGTAATGTCCCGAACTACTTATAAATTTTGTGGATTTAATGCCGCCTATATACACAACTGGATGCATAGCATAAAAATTACGAAGTCTAAAGCTTACCTTCAGATTTCCGTCTCTCATCAAACACCATGTTGCAAAACAGGCTCCTGCACCAAATGCAATAGAGCCCAGTGCTAGCCTTCTTAGACGTGATGCCATTTGGTCTTAATTCACACTGAAAACAATTTTAGCTTATAAAACAATATACCCGCAGACCCTTAACTGATTTTACTATTTTACATTTCACTAACCTTAAAATAGTAACTGGCACTATGTCAACTGATTACTATCCTACTCTGGAAAGACGAACTCCAAAAGGGCACGGTTCTTTGTACATTAGCTGTTAACATGCCATACCAAATTGCTGTCTACTGTTCTCTTTAAAAACTTAAGACAAACTCGACAATCATCACGCGAACAACACAAAAACCAACCTCTCAATGACAACACTTGCGACCACTCATAATATAAGCCCAGTTAAATATCTGAAATATATACTATATTGGAAAGCGAGCTCATTACCCTTCTATTGAATTTTTTTGTGGGGAATTAAGTTGTTAGGTAACTATCTCATACATGAATCTGACTCGCATTGTAAACTTGTTATCACTCACAGTCTCACACTTCTCAGTTTGCCATCACAATTTTACTTAAAAGACAGCGACCAAAGACATCTCGCAGCAACACACTATTCGAACAAGATGCAACAAGGTAGAATTAAAATCAGCTACGTTATTTTTAAACAACCTAATTCAATGCCCTCTGACGTTGAATAGAGTTATCATAATTTGAATCATCGACTGCCGCTAAGCTTCAAGTCTAATGAGAGAATACGAAGCTGCATAACAGCGATCTGCAAAGGTGAAGTTAAATCCTTTGCTTAACTAATTAAATACTACGCCACGAAAACATATAGGGGGGTGAATGTATAGATCCACGTATTCTTGACCTCGGCACTAGTTGGAGGTATGCGGTCAGCTTTACGCTCCGGTCGTTTTACCCCCGGGGAAAGTGCCCCCGGTAACCCTTGGATAGAAGGCTGGGTGGGCCCCATAACTGATCTTGAAGACGTGGAGAAGAGAAAAATCTTGGTCCTACCGGGAATCGAACCCTGACCTCTCAATCATCCAACCCATTGCTTAGTCGCTATGGGCCGCTTTACTGACCGATACCGACTGAGCTATCTCGTCCGATCTCAACAGCTAATTCTGAAATTAAAAGAGGTACAATTTGAATGCAATAGTCGATCTCTAATCGATTCTTGTCGCAAGATTATGACGATTATGACAGATTATGATGCTGGCAGCGCCGGCCTGCGTTGTTCATTCGCTGACTTCGCTGAGTCTCATCTTGTCTTGTAAAGTAAGGAATCATTTTTGAAAGGCAGGTGAATTTATATTAGACAACTATTTTGTTTGTAACAAGAAAAGTGCTTATGTGTACGCTACCGTGTGTAAGTAGTGCATACATTGTGGTGAGAAGGTTGTAATAAATAAAACAAGGAGTACGTATTTTTAGAGTTTATAAAAGCTGTTCGGCGATTACATTTCCACCTAATGAAGAACTGATTCCTGCTCCAGGGACGACGTTTTGTATTTCTGGGATGAAGGAATTTGTTGCTGAAGTTTGGGATTGTTTGAGACGAAAGTATGTCATTGCATCACTTCTTTGATGCCTTCAACAAGAAAGCGGTTCTTTTTCCAGTCCATACAGCATTCATAATAGAAGATCCTTCTGTGGCTGCATTTTTAAAGGGAATGGCTAAAAATAATTCTCAGATTATATGTATATATTTTAAGGAAACGGCTTCATTTTACACAAAGTCCACTACTTTGGAACTTCATTCAGCAGTTCTGCGTAAATGCATACTGCATTCTTGAGTTATAGTGAAGATATGCATTACCAGGGCGGTAGCTACCGTTGTAGCTTCCTGGTCTGGGAGAGGCATTGCCTCTGCCCACTTCGTGAAGTGATCGATGTACGTCAGGAGGTTTCGGTTACATTTCGTTGAGGTAGCGTAGGGCCCCGTGATGTCGATCGATTCGACTTCCCCTGGTTCTCTGGCCACGGGTAGGTTACCCATGGGCGCTGTGGTCACGCGGCCCGCCTTCAAACGGGCGCACTGNGAATGGTGTCGTAATTCCTCTCTTGGGTTTGTCCTCTGGCCTTATCTGGCCTTTGCAACTCAAGATGTAATCTTCGATGTCCCGGTGTAGGTTGGGCCAATAATACGTGTATTTCCTCCGCATCCATTGCTGCGTTTTTTGACTCCAGCGTGACTGCATGCTTGGCGTCGTGGTGGTCCCGTATGAGCCTGCCCACCAACGTCTCTGGTATCACTAGCCGCGGTGTTCCTTCCGGGGTTTTCTGGTATAACAGGCCGTCTTCATCTACCATATAATCTTTCCGCTGGCTTAGGCCATCCTTACCTTCTTGCAAAATACGTCCAGTTTCTGTTCTGCCTTCACTTAAGGTCTCGTTACCTGCCCTTCGATCGTGAGGGTCGCGATGTGGCGGGATAGAGCGTCCGGTAGGCAGTGATATTTGCCTGGTCGGTGTAATACCGTAGGCACCGTATATTCGAATTCCGACAGGCGAAGATCCCATCTTGTGAGTTTGGCGCTCGGATCTTTCAGTTTCAATAGCCAACATAACGCTCGGTGGTCGGTCACGAGCGTGAACTTGCGACCATACAGGTAGCATCTAAATTGTTTCGTTCCATACACTACCGCTAACAGTGCTTTTTCGGTAACTGAAAGTTTCTTTTCGGCAGGAGTCAGCTGTCTACTGGCGTAACTAACTGGGCGTTCCTTCCCCTCTTTTACTTGGGCTAAGACTGCCGAGATCCCATGGTCACTCGTGTCTGTGTGTAATCTAAACTCATGAGTGGGATCCATACTCGGGTAAGCAAGTAGTGTGTGTATCTGAGCTGACTTCATATTTTAAGCGACTGCACGCTGCTTCTTGATCCCTGTCCCACTGAAAGTCGTGGTCCTTTTTTGTCAAAACGGTGAGGGGTCGACTGATTTCCGCGTAATTTGGAATATATTGTCTATAATATCTGCTTAATCCTAAAAAGGATCGTACCTCCGTCACAGTGCGGGGTCGAGGGTAGTCTCGAATCGCTCTCACCTTAGTTAGTTAGTTAATTATTGGATAGGGTGGGTTTCCCCATGCACTTAGACCAGTACTGGTCCATTGTGCTTCCCTCTATGATATTCTACCAGTCTCTATACCCTACCGATATTGGTGCGTACCATCAGTCCCGACCGAGCCATCGAGTTTGGCCTCTGCTGGCTTGGCGGTATCTACAATGCTTCCCCCCCATCTATCAGAGGCGTTAGAGACTACTGTTGGGCGGGAAATGACCTTGAATTTGGCTCAGTGGCCTCCTTTGGAGATATGAGGTTCTTTTACGTGCCGTAAAGCTAAGACACGGGATCCACGGCTTAAAGCCCCTCCCGGAGGACTTGTCCCCTTAATTTTTCCGCCCTTAAAAATTCCACGACCTCCGCCGGGTTTGAACCCGCGTACCACGAGTCATGAGGTGGGAACGTTACCTCTAGACGCTCTAGACTACGGAGGCCGCTGCTCTCACCTTATCTTCACTGGGTCTAACCCCCTCTCGTGTTACACAATGACCCAAATATTCTACATTGTCCTTAGCAAAATGACATTTTTCTAAATTTAGGGTTAATTTAACAGAACGTAACCGTCCAAAAACTTCTCGTAAGCGTTCCGTATGTTCCTGTAAAGTGCGTCCAAAAACCAACACAGCGTCATAAAAACTAAACACGTCACGTTTCCTAACCCTAGCAGTACCTCATCCATAACCCTGTTGAAGGTATATGGTGAGCCTGCTAAACCGAATGCTAATCTTTCGTACTGATACGTCCCGAATGGTGTCGTAATTCCTCTCTTGGGTTTGTCCTCTGGCCTTATCTGGCCTTTGCAACTCAAGATGTAATCTTCGATGTCCCGGTGTAGGTTGGGCCAATAATACGTGTATTTCCTCCGCATCCATTGCTGCGTTTTTTGACTCCAGCGTGACTGCATGCTTGGCGTCGTGGTGGTCCCGTATGAGCCTGCCCACCAACGTCTCTGGTATCACTAGCCGCGGTGTTCCTTCCGGGGTTTTCTGGTATAACAGGCCGTCTTCATCTACCATATAATCTTTCCGCTGGCTTAGGCCATCCTTACCTTCTTGCAAAATACGTCCAGTTTCTGTTCTGCCTTCACTTAAGGTCTCGTTACCTGCCCTTCGATCGTGAGGGTCGCGATGTGGCGGGATAGAGCGTCCGGTAGGCAGTGATATTTGCCTGGTCGGTGTAATACCGTAGGCACCGTATATTCGAATTCCGACAGGCGAAGATCCCATCTTGTGAGTTTGGCGCTCGGATCTTTCAGTTTCAATAGCCAACATAACGCTCGGTGGTCGGTCACGAGCGTGAACTTGCGACCATACAGGTAGCATCTAAATTGTTTCGTTCCATACACTACCGCTAACAGTGCTTTTTCGGTAACTGAAAGTTTCTTTTCGGCAGGAGTCAGCTGTCTACTGGCGTAACTAACTGGGCGTTCCTTCCCCTCTTTTACTTGGGCTAAGACTGCCGAGATCCCATGGTCACTCGTGTCTGTGTGTAATCTAAACTCATGAGTGGGATCCATACTCGGGTAAGCAAGTAGTGTGTGTATCTGAGCTGACTTCATATTTTAAGCGACTGCACGCTGCTTCTTGATCCCTGTCCCACTGAAAGTCGTGGTCCTTTTTTGTCAAAACGGTGAGGGGTCGACTGATTTCCGCGTAATTTGGAATATATTGTCTATAATATCTGCTTAATCCTAAAAAGGATCGTACCTCCGTCACAGTGCGGGGTCGAGGGTAGTCTCGAATCGCTCTCACCTTAGTTAGTTAGTTAATTATTGGATAGGGTGGGTTTCCCCATGCACTTAGACCAGTACTGGTCCATTGTGCTTCCCTCTATGATATTCTACCAGTCTCTATACCCTACCGATATTGGTGCGTACCATCAGTCCCGACCGAGCCATCGAGTTTGGCCTCTGCTGGCTTGGCGGTATCTACAATGCTTCCCCCCCATCTATCAGAGGCGTTAGAGACTACTGTTGGGCGGGAAATGACCTTGAATTTGGCTCAGTGGCCTCCTTTGGAGATATGAGGTTCTTTTACGTGCCGTAAAGCTAAGACACGGGATCCACGGCTTAAAGCCCCTCCCGGAGGACTTGTCCCCTTAATTTTTCCGCCCTTAAAAATTCCACGACCTCCGCCGGGTTTGAACCCGCGTACCACGAGTCATGAGGTGGGAACGTTACCTCTAGACGCTCTAGACTACGGAGGCCGCTGCTCTCACCTTATCTTCACTGGGTCTAACCCCCTCTCGTGTTACACAATGACCCAAATATTCTACATTGTCCTTAGCAAAATGACATTTTTCTAAATTTAGGGTTAATTTAACAGAACGTAACCGTCCAAAAACTTCTCGTAAGCGTTCCGTATGTTCCTGTAAAGTGCGTCCAAAAACCAACACAGCGTCATAAAAACTAAACACGTCACGTTTCCTAACCCTAGCAGTACCTCATCCATAACCCTGTTGAAGGTATATGGTGAGCCTGCTAAACCGAATGCTAATCTTTCGTACTGATACGTCCCGAATGGTGTCGTAATTCCTCTCTTGGGTTTGTCCTCTGGCCTTATCCCTATGTGATAGTAGGCGTCCTTGAGGTCCACAAATGAAAAATACCGATTTCCGTTTAAAATGTGCTTAAACGAAAAGTATGGTAAAGTCTGTATAGGTAAATATTTGTCTGATAGGTTTCGTATGCAGAATGGTTTAAATCAACGGAATGCTTCATCACCACTGCTATTCAACTTTGCTTTAGAATATGCCATGAGGACGGTCCAAGAAAACTAGGCGGGACTGAAATTAAACGGAACACATCAGCTGTTGGTCTATGCCAATGATGTTAATCTACTGGGTGATAATGTAGATACCATAAAGAAAAACACACAAACTTTAATTGACGCAGGTAAAGAGGTTGGTCTAGAAGTAAACACAGAGAAAACTAAGTATATGTTGCTGTCTCGTCACCAAAGTGCAGGGCAAAATTATGACATAAAGATAGGAAATAGATGTTTTGAAAATGTGGCACAGTTCATTCATTCATTTATTTCAAATTCAAAATAGATCCAGATACAGGTTGGGAAAGAACCATTGGATATAGAATGAGTCACAGATAAAAAAACAAACATTCCATTCCCACAGGAACAAGTCAAGGCATTCATAATATAAAACAATAAAAAAGAACGTATCAACCATATATACAACAAAACTCTCCCAGTTTCCAAAAACAACGCAAAACCAAGACATAGAACTCTCAAAGGTTTCAGGCATCAGTACAAGCTCTTTTTTCATTTTCATTACTCATCTATTATTTCATAAAATTAAAAAACTTTAGGATGTGGAAAAGTCATATTGGATAAATAAGCAGTACAAAGAACTAAGTCAAGACATAAGAATAGAACCAGAAAACAATTAATCTTACCGACTAGTATGTACAAAAAATTTATCCACAGTATAAAATGGGTGACAACTCAATAATTCTTTTAATTTTAATTTAAACCGTTTAAGAGGAGATTGAACTCGGGTAATGCTTGCTACCATTCAGTCCAGAGACTTTTGTCTTCTTGTCTGTTGTATAAAAATGTAAAAATTAGAATATACAAAACTCTAATTTTGCCCATAGTTCTGTATGGGTGTGAAATTTGGTCTCTGTCATTAAGGGAGGAACATATGCTGAGGGTGTTGAGAATATTTGGACCGAAGAGAGATGAAGTGACAGGAGGTTGGAGAAAACTGCATAATGAGGAGCTTCATAACTTGTATGCTTCTCTCAGTGTAATTAGAACGATCAAGTCAAGGAAGATGAAATGGGCATGGCATGTAGCATGAATGGGGACAGGAGAAATACGTATAGGATATTGGTGGGAAAGCCGAAATAAAGGAGATCACTGGAAAGACCAAGGTGTAGGTGGGTGGACAATATTAAAATGGATCATTGAGAGATAGGTTCAGATGGTATGGACTGGATTGATCTGGCTCAGAATAGGGACCACTAGAGGGCTCTTGTGAACACGGTAATGAACCTTCAGGTTCCATAAAATTCTTCCACAGTTGGCAGCTTCATAAGAAGGGCTCAGCTCCATAAGTAGAACAGACCAGGTCGGAAAAATTATATAGTGGCATTCTGTGACGTTGATATTCCGTAGTGGTTAGAGGGTGGGGGCTGCTTTGCATAGGCAAGTGCTATGACAGCATACCTTTGTTACCGATTGTGTTCTCGGCATTGGCGGCGGCCATTCAGCAGGATTTGATCTTCCCCCGAATGTAGATGGCAGCAGTAATGCGATCGTGACATAAAGGCGGCTATGTTTGCCGCCCACATAATTGAGCTTACAAAGCTTCACTGTGACGCGTGTGACGGCTGTGGCTGTTTGACGCCCTTGACGATCTGGTAACGGCATGCGAAGCGTTCGCAGGGTGTGGGTGGTGTGAGGCTGTTCTGGGATAGTAGTTGGTTTTTTTTGAAGTTTTTGTTCTCTAATTCAGAACTCGGGTGAAGCACAAACGCGTACAAGTTCAGAAAATGGCGTAAGTGTTCATGGAGGCAGAGTGGGTTTTCCTGTCTAGAATGATTTTCATGTACATACGACGTTTTTTCATGTTATTTATTTCAGGGCGACCCTTTTGACCAAACCAAAGTCTGAGATGACACCAGAGGAATTGGCAAAGCGTGAAGAAGAAGAGTTCAGCACTGGTCCCCTTTCTGTTCTTACACAGTCCGTAAAAAATAATACACAGGTAAGAGACTCTTGCGGCCGGTCACGGTAGCCGAGCGGTCTAAGGGCCCCCATACACACACAGTTTGGCTTTCCGTTCGGCCTGCACAGTTGAAGACTGAAAGGCAAAACTGATTTGTGTGGTGCGGCCGGCCGGTCAATCGTTTGGACTGTTGGCCTGTGGGAAACCCGTCAGTTCTGCCTGCAGGACCGTAGCACGTGACGTGTGTGACTCAACATTATAGGCTGGAAGATCATGATTTTGGCATGAAGCCTACCGCTTTATCTGCGCGTGTATGGGGAGGAAAGGGAGGGGGTAAACTGTCACAGTTTTGCCTGTAAGGTCGATCGGAAGGCCAAACTGTGTGTATGGGGGGGCCTAAGGCATTCACTGTCTTCGCTCGCTCGGAAGCCGGGATCGTGGGTTCGAATCACACTCAGGGCATGGATGTTTGTGTGCGTTTTTCTGTGTTTGTGTACAGGTAGAGGCCTTGCGACGAGCTTATCACCCACCCAAGGAGTCCTACCGAACATGTAAGATCTAGAAAAACCAAAGTGAACGGAGAAGTTTATGGAAGTAGGCCTAGGCCCACTGGGGCTGTGGTGCCAAGGGGGGAAAAAAGAGACTCGTGTGTATAAGTTCTGATACCTACATTGTAATGTATCTGCTTCAAGTTTTTGAAGCTTTGTCACCAGAAAAATGCAGTTTTGAGCTGTAGAGAATTTTATTATAGTTGTATTTGTAATCTGCCACCAGATTAATGCAGTTGCCCGCCTTAGAGAATTGTAATTTTCATTTTATAATAATATTACATAAGAAGTAAACATTAATTTCGTTTTTGATGTGTGTCCATTGAAGTTTCATGGAAAATTTTGTCATGCAAAATATTCTGAATACAGTTGCATATTGTGATGCATTAGGGTAAATCTTTCATCACCCAAAACTTATTTTGCTCTTCTGTGTTTTGTTTGTGTGTCCATTGTAAGAATTGTGGGAAATCTTAAGTCAGTGTAATTTGACAGTGTAACAACAATGTTCTGTGACAGTTCCGAACTAATTGTTGTGATGTAAGTTTTGAGGTTTTCACGGCAATGACTATGAAGAAAGTCATCTTCTGGGATCTGGTGCCATGTATTCTTTGTTTTAGCCGACGTTTCGGACGAACGTATCGCCTCCATCTTCAGGGCAAGTGAATTGGCTTGCGAATGCAGAGAGCAGTAGCTGTAATGATTCACTTCCTAATCATTACAGCTACTGCTCTCTGCATTCACAAGCCAGTTCACCTGTCCTGATGATGGAGGCGATACGTTCCTCCGAAACGTCGGCTAAAACAAAGAATACACGGCGCCAGATCCCAGAAGACGACTTTCTTCTTAATTGTTGTGATGTTTCATACTGTTTATATCTATGTTTCCTGGTCTGGTTTTCTTTATTTTATGGGTTTATCCACCTTTCGTGTTTCAGCGTCTGGCTTTGTTATATGTCAGATTGCAACTGCTCACAGTATCTAGTTCCGAGCAATATGACTGCTCACCATAAGGAAATCTAATGGGAGTAGAAACAAACTAGACCACAACCAAAACAACATGCATAGATAACTGCATTTTGTAGTGCCATAATTGCAATGATTGACACCAGCGTGAATAGTATTTATGTATGAGATATTTAAATATGACATAACAAGCAACATTTTAATTCCTCATCTGATTGTATTTTATAACTTAAAGCTTTTATTATTTTTATGTTTCATTTTCTTCCAAGTGTAATTAGAATGATCAAGTCAAGGAGGATGAGGTGGGCAGGTCATGTAGCACGAATGGGGGAGACGAATGTGTATAGGATATTGGTGGGAAAGCCAGAAGGAAAGAGACCACTGGGAAGACCAAGGCATAGGTGGGTGAACAATATTAAAATGGATCTTAAAGAGAGGTAGGATGGAATGGTATGGATTGGATTGTTCTAACTCAGGATAGGGACCAGTGAAGGGCTCTTGTGAACATGGTAATGAACCTTTGGGTTCCATAATATGCTGGGAAATTCATTTTCTTATATAGACACCATGTACATCTCTAGGAACCCATTTAATGTAAAACTTTTATATTTACAAGAATCATATTAATTGTAGCGAAATGCTCAATATATTGACTGTGTGTAAAGTCAGATACATTTGTAATAGTTGTTATATTGTAATATATAAATTCATATAAAATTCAGTTCATTTGTTTGAGAAAAGTCATTAGTGTCTATTGCCTGATGATGGCTTTATTAGCTTGAAACATGTAGCACATTGCCATACCATTAATACCAATAAACTCATTATACACAGTAAATGTGATTGAGATTTTGATAATTGTTGTGTTGAGATCGAGAAAACAGTAATGAAGGAAAAAAGTGAACCTTATGTTTGAGCTATGTGTTACAATGTCCAGTCTTATACTTGAATTAATTGAACTTCATGAACAATTTTTAGCTCTCATTTCTGATGTCAGAATTTACTGCTGGTGACCATTTCTTAAATATTCATGTTTATTTGTCGATTAATAAACATGGAATAAACTGTTCTTTTAACTTACCTTTTATGTCCCCTTGTACTGTCAGGGATTTTGGGTTTTGTTTATGCATACTGCCTTTATCAGAAACCATTATAAATTACTTCTTTCAGCAGTATCTTTGTTGTAAGAACATTTCTTCATTTTCCTAAACACATTTTGTTGTAGTAGTCCTATTTAATGATGGTGTTCATGTCATGGCTTTCATGATTTTGTTCATCAGAGTACGGGTAAATGCAAAATTTGCTCTGAAGAGAAGGCCAGATGTTTCCTAGGATTCAAGTGATGCTGTTTTTGGTGAAATTAAAGTTACACAAAGTTATTTCCCTTGGGATTAGTAGGTTTTTGGACTTCGTTCATCTTCTGGTATTCTTAGGGCAAAGTCCAAAAACCCAGTAATTCCAAGTGATATGCACCATTGTCAGAACCTTTTGGAATCAAGTTATTTGAGAGAAATAAGTTGGTTTCTGTCTCATGCCTACATAGCACTGTCTCTGCCATCTGTTTTATTTTGCTCTGGGTGTAGGCCTTTCCATTTTAATCACTGATTTTGTCTTAATTATTGTTCCTTTTCCCTCATTTTAATTCCTTTTTGTATGCATCTCTGCATCCACTGCCCAATAACAGCTTTGAGGCATATGACTTCAGAATAGAAATCTCAGGTTTCTGTATTTCATCAGGTTTTTTGGCCTGTTTATTAACCCATCTGTACAAACTAAATTATCATTGTGTAGCAGACATGAAAGTACAGTACTGCTAGCAGCTGCAGAAAGCCTGTCCTCGGACATTATTGTGGGTTCCGTTTATCTCCCATCTTCAGAACTATCTTGTTGTTAACCTCCTATCATCTTGGTGCCTGATGTTGCTGTTGGGCAGTCAGCACTCCTGTTTTACGTTACGGGGATCTTGAGTTTAAGTGTCAGTTTAGCTATCATGACTGAAATTTTCATGGTTTTCATCAGACCCTCCAAATCCTTGTAAATGCAAGGATATTACAGTCCTTCATGCTAAGATACATGCTTCTGTAACTTCATGATTGCTGGTCAGAAACAGTCTACTTTCTGCTGAGTTCTGCCTTTCAATTCTGATAGAAACATAGATTGTTTTGGACTGAATATCGTTTGTACACTCCCCTGAACTGATTCATGTTCACATAAATAGGTTTTCTATCTAACAAACAAGGCTGTAATAGTGTTGAACAGTGATTAAGTGCTAGTTACTGCTGTGAGTGGATATGGGTCAGCATTTTGTATCAAATATTGTATATTTTTATATGAATTGTATGTTCATTGTGGTTCTGGTGGTGAATGTTGGGAAAAATTGACCCATGAGCATTCTAGAGTCATTGTTGCAAGCACAAGAGGAATCCTCAAACTTATGGATGAACTCAGATGTAGTGCATCTGTTTTGGGCAAGAAACCTTCAAAAAAGCATGCATGATATGCTTACAGAGGGGAGAGTGTGGGTGAAGTGGGGACTAGGCTAAGATATTCACTGAGACATCCTCCATAAGAGACTGGCATTTCAAAATAATCCGCAACAAACTGAGCAGGTTTGTTTAGCTGTAACACTCTGCTCATATTTAGGGAGCACTTCATTGAAATCTGGAATGGGCCATGAAGTTTTCGTCAGTCCCTTCAGGCAAATGCTGGCATAGTACCTCAATTAGGACACGATTGCCTCCTTCCAAAATTCTTTCCATTTCACCATCTGTCACCCTAACATTTGATGCTGTAATAGTCTAGCTATTGATGTTGTAAAATAATCCACAAGGAATAGATTAGCAGCAAAAGTGATGACATTACTTTAACTCCATCCGTACATGACAGTTTTATGAATTAATTGTGAAGAACCTCTTCATGTCAGCTTAAACCTGTTTAAATGATATATGCAGTATGTCTGGGCACAGGGCCAGCACTTTCATCACTGGAGAAGTTACTTTCATTGCTTATAGACACTGGCTAGTGACTGGGAAATCGTAGAGACATGTAACTTACCAAGAAGACACAGTGCCTTAAAATAGGCCATGATTGCTTTCCTTCTAGTTCTTCATTCACAGATCATTCAACTTTTTGACACTCAGAAATTGAAACTGTGTGATTACAAGAAGGAATCAGCCCTTCTTGGTTTTTTAAGTGTTTGCTTTGGAAGAGCTCTGTTCTTTGTCCCCAGCATTCTGTCCACATGAAGAGTCTTCATACCCGCCCTGGATCTTGCGCCATAACAGTACCAGGTGACTGTTATGAGTTCCCATAAATTCCTACATTGCCCATTTTTCATCCTTAAATCCAAATTTTTTCATGAGTACTTTGTTTTCAAGCAGAATATGAATTAAATAAAATTAAATATCTTGCACTTCTCTTATCAAGAACAGAGAAAGAAAGTTTAGTCTTGATTTGTCAGAGTTTGGTCATCATTCCCACTTGACATTCCCTTATTGCAGCGTTATCAGGGCCTTCGCCTCCTGTGTGTATGCAAGGAATTGTTGATATATATATATTTGTTTATATTTAGTGTGCTATGGCCCAATTTGTGATTACTGCACTAGCTTTGCATCTGACCTGGCATTTGTGCAGAAGTCTAAAACTTGTGCACCAGGCAGTAGGTAACAGCCTGTGCTTTGCATTCTGCTGTGGCTTTGCCCAGGAGACAGGAAATAGCAGGAAATAGCTGTGGCAAAAAGTCTGGCAACACAGGAGTGGGAGATTTTAAAATCTTGGTGGAGTATGCATATGATGCATGAAATGTGATCTGCGCATGATTTACATTTTCTCTAGTAGAATAATGAATAAAGCTTAAAAACATCAATATGTACATTAAGAAGTCTCCAAATTAATGGAAGGTGGCTGTAAAGGAAATTGTAATTTGAAATGAATGTTGTAGCATGTAGACCCGTTACTAGATAGTGATTGAAAACATACGGTTTCCCATGGCACCAAATCAACATGCAATAACAGAGGAACTGTGAGAAACGGTGTTTTCTGCAATCCCCGCCATGGCCATTGCTACACAGTGGCACAGTAAACGTCTGTGTGGCTGAGTCAGTTGAAAGTCAGCCTGTGTAGAGAAGACTAGGAGGTTGGTGTGAAATGGCCACCAGCCTGTTAGTCAGTCAGTTGAAACACTGAGAGAATGGTAAGGGAGTCTATAAAGAGAAGACTTGTTTGGTGCAGTTGAAGAGCCTCCACTGTTAGAAGCCGTTACCAGATATGACTAGTGGAGACTGTAACATGTGCAGTAGTATTTGTAAAGTGTGGAAATTGGCGATGGCGCTATAATTAAATGTAGTCATGGGTCAAGTGTTGTGGTCAATAAATCCAATCTTAAATCCAAAAAACCCTGTTGATAGTCACTCTTGACACATGACAATAGTGTTAATATTACAGGTAAAGGTGTAGCAGCATAGGTACAGACATGTGCATAATTGTTTGGTTTCCAGCTTTCCTGTACTGTTTTTTTACAGGTGTTGATCAACTGTAGGAACAACAAAAAACTTCTGGGACGGGTGAAGGCATTTGATAGACATTGTAACATGGTGTTGGAAAATGTGAAGGAGATGTGGACGGAACTTCCACGAACTGGAAAAGGAAAGAAGAAAGTAAGTTTCTGGGAATGTTATATTTCTCTTTTACTGTTTTAGTAAACCAGTTACATTATTCTGTAATTATGTCTCATCTTGTGCACTGACCCCCTCTGCACACTGAACATCTATTATATCATCCCCACAGTCATCATATTATAACGTGGATGGCCAAAGCGTTTCTAGGCAACGACCTGTAAACAACCTTCAGTTGAGTGCGTTACAACAATAGGGCAAATGTTTATAGCTCGTTGCTAGGCGACAGTCAGCACACCAATGGACTAATGAGATATCATGTGAAATGTTTTCTTTGAGAACTGTGTCATCAACAATGGAATTATGTTTCCTGTGTGGTCCATGCTGCAGCTATATAATGAGAGCTTTGAGCCTTAAGTTCAGGTCGAATTATGACTAGAAGTGAGTGACAGCCCTGAGTTACGAGTTTGCTCTAGAAGAACAAATGGTGGTGGAATCACGCGAACAGGGCGAATTGGAATGAGGAGGTTGGCCTGTGAAGGTTTAAAATGTGATTTGAAGATTTTATTTATGTGTAATATTTGGAATGATTTGAACTGCTAGTTCCTGTGTATTAATTGCATTGCTAGGAGAGGACTAGTGTGTGTGTGTGTGTGTGTGTGTGTGCGTGCGCGCGCGCGTGCGTGTGTGTGTGAATTGTGTAAATCAACGATAGCACTGTAGTAAATGCAATTAGGAGAGATTGTAACCAAAGTGCTAATAAATCCAATCATCCGATCTAGAGCCCATTGTTTTTGTCGCGCGTACCACCCTACACATGACAATATGATACCTGTACCTGGTTTGCCATGTCCCTTTGAATTTGTCACAACAGTTCATTTTCTTCCATGGTTATCTTACATTTTAAGGTGAAAATACTGAGTTTTCAGGCATCTGTAGCTTAGGAGCAAAAAGAGATATGAGGGTTCATAATGCAGGGTGTCCAGATGAAATGTATCCAAAATAAAATAATATATCTAAGAAAGCATTTATTATACACATTTATATGTTACACCATTACAAAGGGAGACTATCAGAGTTTTTTCTGAGTATATAACTTTCTCAATAACTTTCAGTGTAGACTCCTTTGGTGGCACGACAGATATCCAGACGATATTCAACCTCATTCCACGTTGCTTGAATCATGTTTGGTGTTACCATAGCCACAGCGCCCCTTAAGCAGGCTTCCAGGTGTTGAAGATAATTGATCTTAACCTTGTAGATAGTGTTTTTCATATAACCCCACAAGAGAAAATCCGTTGTGTTTAAATCTGGCAACCTTGGAAGCGAAATGATTGTCCACATGATTCCTAACTTTGTGGCAGAGATGTGGTGGCATCGCATCTTGTTGGAGGATAGTTTGAGTTGGTAACTGGGGCAGAGCATACAGCTCCAGCATGTCAAAGTATGAACATCCAGTCAGTCTTTTCCACACAAANAAAAAAAAAAAAAAAAAAACGGTCCAACTTGTCATGCATTAAGGTTGGTCACACGTTTACTTTGGGGCTGCCACTCTCCAACTCATGTGACATGTGGATTTTTGACTGCCCCAATCCTGCAGTTGTACCTGTATACAGCTTCATTGACATGGATCATCACCTCGTCCGAGAAACATGCTTGGCGGAGGAAGTTGGGTGATGCTTCAGTTGTTTCTAGCATGTCCACAGTGAAGTTTGTGCATGTTACTTGGTCACTCCGTTTTTGTGCAGGAATCATTTGACTCTTGTATGCTCTTAGGTTTAGCAAATCATGCACTGTTGAACCTGGAATATGTAGATGTAAGCTAGCAAACAATTTTTTTTGCTGGAATGCCTCTGTAATACAGTTGACAGTTTCTTCAGAGGTCCTTGTCTTTCCAGATTTTACATGCAACAGACTACCTGTTGTGCCAGGACCAAATGTTTTTCCATGTAGGAGGTTGAATCAGTATTGCACTGTAAAAGAACGCTGGACAGCCATAAGAGATTTCAACTCTACTAGCCACAATATGCATTTAACTTGCCGAAGGTTACCAGCTGGCACATGCGTGTAAGCCAGGCATGAAAAGAAACTTTTGAAGTTTTCCTTTCTGATGACATAAACCGGATATGTGTATGACAATTAGTTTTTGATTTTGGATCCCTTACATCCAGACACCCTGTATTATATTGCAGCGTCCTGTTGCACTGTGTAGATCTGACTTTGTGTTCCACCCCTAGCCCTCAGTGTGCAAATTCAATTAATCTTCACTCGTCTTCTCTTCGTTGTACTTAACTGTATGTTTTGGCCCAATTTGCCATTATCAGGCATGCAAGTTGTTGTGATGAAGGAATCTGCTGCCCTGCTCCAATGTTGTTCTGCTTTTCTTTTGTGTAACTGCCTCGGCATATTCTAGGTTATATGGGTTACTGTGCTGTTGCCATGCATGTATTTGCTTTATGGAAGTGGTTCTAAACCTTTGTCAGACTGTGGCATGGTCAGTCCTTTCTTCTACAAGAAGAGGGCCCAGTATAATTGATGCCAGGGCCCAGTACTGGGTCACGGCCCTGCGGTTGAGAAACACTGCTTTATGATTTTGTTGGTTTTCTTTTGGTTTAGTGTGTAGCTGTCATGAGTTTCTGTAGGAGCAGAATCTCATTGCTTGGCAGTCACCATGAAACTGTTTTAGTTTACTATTACACCACAGGCACCAAAATTGTCATATCTGTTTTCATTCCTGAATTACAGGTATTGGGAATCCTGACATTCTTTTTGGCAGACTCGGTATTAAGCTGTTTGTCTCACCAGGAGAGATCCCTTCTATCTCCTTAGTGCTATTCCATGGTTTTAGTGCAGCATCCAGTTTACTTCCCCTCAGTGAGCTCAACATTAAGACTGTACTTCTCTCATTGACCCCTATATGCAAGTGTAGGTGTGTGTACCCACGTAGTAGTAGTAGTCTGTTAGAGGCCCAAATAGCATAGCAGTGGAACAGCCATAACACCCTTAATGTGACATATTACTGCTAACTGGGAGGTGTGACAATCAGCCACAAGGCCCCTGAAGCTCAGTAGAGTGAAGAGCCATGGGTCCTAAAGTTGCGGCTCTCTAGTGATGTAGGACTTTGTAGAGTGTAAGAGGTCTCTTGGTAGGGCCTAATAACCTGACTATTAGAAGAATTGGACAGGATAGCAAAGAAGCAGGTCAATACAGAATTATTTCCTCAAAGGAACTGGGGCCTTATATGGAGGTGGGACCTGCTGGCCCTGTCATTGAGTGACAGAAGGGCTCTGGGATGTCCTGTTGCCAGCAGCCCAAGAGAAGAAGAGGTTCTGTTTGCCCAGTTGAAAATGGAGCTAGCATTTTGAGCTCTGCATGGGTAGAACTGAAAGATATTCAGAAGGGTCAGTCTAGAGGATTTTGGCTCTAGCTAAGCCCAAGGCTCTTAAAGGGCCTGAGCAGCTGTGGGGGCACACAGTGGACCCAGTAGAAGTCTATGTATGGGATGACTGAGTTTGCCCCCCTCAAACTCATTACTCAATACAGTGATGTGTATCTAGTCATGTCTTTGGTGTGCACGGTGAGAGTGACTAGGATGATGTATCATGCCCCAACCTGTGCCAATGTGTTAATTGCTTTGGAGCACATCCATCAAACCAAAAATGTACCACTTATTTGGACAGAAAAGTTGACCAGGAACTTGGGGCTGAAGGAAGGCCTGGAGAAAGTTTCAGGAAAGCAAACTGAAGACTAGGAACCAATCCTATACATTGGCTTTCAGCTGGTCAAGAGGAACCAGTGGCACTACTCAAACAACAGTAACCTCCACCCACAGCAATTCACTCATCAGTCAGTTGTCATGCGGACAGAGTATTCATATAGACCGATAATCTAAGATGTTTTCATATTAGACACCAATGCATGTTTTGGATACCCAGGCAACCAGTCTAGACTATTCTTATCTCAACAGAAACTTTTAACAAAAATAAATATATTTCCATTCCTGGTAAAAACAAAGATGGCGGTAAGGTTGTCAGCCTTATGCCCCGGCTGCACTTTACTCCCAAGGAAAATTATTTAATTACTTCCTGGTACTCATTTCAGTTTGAGACTGAGTCGACCCCAGGGCCATAGTGCGGCTGGAAGGATTAGGTCAATTGGAAAAAATCCAATGATCTCATCAGGACTTGAACCCGTGACCTTCTGGCTTGTAGCATAATGCCTCAACCAACTACGCTACCACGTGCCTCCACCCAGCAACTGTACCAAACCATAGTGAGTCCCCATCTGAAACAGTGGGCCCTTGCACTCCTAGAGGAAAACCCAACAAATCTCCCTTTAAAGCACTGTAGTGTTTTGGCCATTTGTTATGGACCTGCTTCAATGGACTGTTAGTGGCTTTCAGCTCTCTGACATACAGGCTCTGATTTAATGTTACAACGCAGCCATCATTTGTCTTAAGTGTACTGATCTGCCGCCCTCCCATGCATTAATCCTCCTACATAATACAGCCTACTGTTATCACAAGAACAGCTGTTCAGTAAGGACTTATTTTCTCTGCTCTGGCCGTCCATGTAAACCCACCCAGCCTCAAATACACTTTGTGCAACATTTATTTCCTCCAAGCAGTACAACTGCTGCAGCTCAATTGTATGTACGTAATAAGTTCTTCATGAATATAAAGTAAAACTAACATAATACTTATAAAGTAGATCTGCTGGAAAAGAAACCTAGACGTTCGCATAGTAGCCAGTTTTAACCAGGTCTGATTGGAAATGGTCAAGCGTGAATTTCATTTAAATTATATTTTATAGCCCTACTCATCTGGGCACATAGTAGCATAGTTGATTGAGGCACTGTGCTATGAGTTCGAGACCCGATACGATGGAATTTCTCAGTTTACCTAATCCTTCCAACCGCACTATGGCCCTGGGGTCAACTCAACCTCTAACAGAAATGAGCACCAGGAATGTTATGGGGGGGGGCATGTAAAGGGTGGTTACAGCATGTAAGGCTTACAACCTTACTACCATCTGTGAGCCGATTGTTCAAAAAAGGTGTGGGAGCCTTGACGTCTCACAACCCTATGGGCCTTCATGGCCTGTTACAGGGATAGCTTTACCTTTCACCATTTAGCCCTACTCATCCTATATAAATCCTTTCATCCAGATTCCTTGTCTTCTCTGTCTCTTGCAACTATAATCAGTTTTTATAGTTAAAAAAAATCCATGCTCACCATAATCTTGTTGCTAGTAAAACATTTAATGCACAAAGCCATCACTTTGTGGCACCAGATTGTTAATAGAACATTGAGTTGCAGGAATATGGATTCTTAAGGTTATTCTAATGAAAAAATAATTGAACTATTTCAATGTAGTTATTACTGATATTAAGATATCTTGTGCATGGAATTGGGAATTTATTCTTTTATGCAGGATATATATTTATAAGATTCTGGTAAATTTTTGTCAACAGGAACGTCTGTATATAAGATTGCCATAATAAGTAAACAGTTTTATTACTTCTCTGCATTTAATTTACAGGAATCTTGGTGGAGAAAAATAGTAAGTTATAGTAAGAAAATAAGTTAATAAGTTTTTGCTTAAAATTGATAATGTTTATCTTTTGTGAATAAGATCTAAGAGTTCTTGATGATGGTATATTAACACAGTTCTTGTGATATTGGACATTGTCCACCATGCTGGTTTGTCTCTTATTGATGAGTTATATTCTGATAGTACTGTGATTGCATAGACACTGGTCATTAAATTATGCCTGGATGTAGATGCTAGGCCTCATGCATGGAGTATTTTTAGTGTTTTTAATGTCTTTGTTAACTCTTGGTGATGGTTTATGTTGTGGTTCATTTATAGATCCTGTCTTATATTGGTGCTGGTGTCCAGAGATAGGGACCAGCTCTATTGATTGGGCCCAACTGAGCAGGTTTTATACTTGATGATGGAGACAGAATCCAGTCTCAAAAACTTTGTCTTTAAAAAAACAGGTTGATGTATAATGTTCAAAAACACAGTAAGTGTACAGTTGTATTTATCCTCTATGTTTGTTTCAGGCAAAACCAGTAAACAAGGACAGGTTTATTTCCAAGATGTTTCTGCGTGGTGATTCAGTCATTTTAGTATTAAGAAACCCACTAGCTACTGCAGGTGCAAAATAATGTCTGCAAAGGGATCTTTAATTATACTGAAAACCTTTGGAATACATAGGATGTTTACACACGTGGTATGTGACAACAGTGGTTATCAGCAAAATCTGTCAGTGATATTGGACATGAGAACACATTGGAAACTTGCAGTGCCATCTCCTTACTAGATTGTAAACCATCACTTAATAATTTGTTGAAAAATGGCCAAATGTCAATAACACTGTATTTTATATTGAAGCATTAATAAAATATCTGTACTGTGTAACATCTCTGTGTATAGACACTAACTTTAAAATAAGTACTTAGAATTATATATCTTCTGCGTAGATAAGCGTTCCATGACTAAGCCCAGATGTTTCACCACAAATTTTTCTCAGGAAAAAATAATGTTAATGAATGTAATTTTTCTGAGTTTACATATTTCCTGCATTTGCATTCTGTTACATGACTATTATTTTTCATTTATTTCTTACCACTGCCAGGTGAGATTTAATAATGGTTGTTTTTATCATCGTTATTAATATTAGTTGAGATGTGCAGACCACGACCATGAAGACATATTTTCTGGTACTGATACTGTTTGTAGTTCAGCTGATGGCATAAAATAATAACATTTTAAAGGTCTGCTGCAGAGAGCAGTGTTTGCAACGGTTTGGGAATCTTGTTTCCTCCATTGTCTTTAACCTGAAAAGTTTACATTTTGGCCTGTTTCTAAACACAGCAGACTTCACATTTTGTGCACACCCATGCATTTTCTTGCTTTGAAGCAATTATAACTGAAACATTAGAATTGCTCAGTCTTTAAACATGCTGCAAAATGGATGATTTTGGAATTCTGTGGTAGCTGATCTTTCCTGGCAAAACCACATCTTCCTTCTCTGCACTGCACACTTATTTCTGTGTTACTGGCCTTTGATTATTTCGGAACGACAATAACAAATCGAAGTTTGATTTAAGATGAAATTAAGGGGAAGCTGAATTCAGGTTGTGCTTGCTACCATCCAGTCCAGAACCTTTTGTCCATGGTTCTGTATGGGTGTGAATGACTTTAAGGGTGGAACATAGACTGAGGGTGTGTGAAAACAGGGTGTCGTGAAGAATATTTGGACTGAAGAGGGATGAGGTGACAGGAGGTTTGGGAAAAATGTTGACTTTACAGACAGGTCTCCCCATGTTGGTGGGGGGGGGGGTAATATGTGTTAAAAATTTCATTACCTGTATGGAGTTTTGGACAGATGAAGCAGAGATAATCACAGTCGAAGTGGAAGGAGTGGATCCAAAATATTCGTGGGAAATTATAGGTATTTACAGAGTCCCAAATGAGGATATGTTGGCGACAGAAAGATTATGCGAGACACAGCGAAAAGAAGCATCATAGGTGGAGATTGAACTTACCTCAGACGGACTGGAATGGGGATGCGGAAAAAACAAGTGGCTTTCAAGCATTGGTAAACAAAATGTTATGGAATAATGGCTATACGCACAGGTTGTAGGCGGTCCGCCAAGAGGAGATGCCTTACTGGATATTTAATTCTTCAGGCCTGATAATTCACTTACCTCGTGTGACATTGTACCTGGCATCAGTGATCATAGCGGGTTACTATTGGAAGTAGAAGGGGATGATATTTGTCGACAGCCAAAAATGGAAAGGATAGTCCCGTTATACCACAAGACAGACATTTTAGGTTTACAAACCTTGTGGGCCATGAATGATGGATGCATACAGGAGATATGGTTAAGTTACAAGGACATAGTTTTCGAGGGTATGGAACGTTTTGTGCCTCATAAAATTCTGAATACTTATCCGGATCCAGAGTATTATAACAGAGAAGTTAAATGGTTAAAGGTAAAGGTGAGGAGGGTGTACAATAAGAGGAAGTTTGGTGAACATTACCAAGAGGAGTTGAAGCATTTATCTAAGGAGGAAGGCTCAATAGGCCTTATGCTTGGTCTTATAAAACGAGGGCAGTTGCTGGACCGAATTTATCAAATATGTTAAAAGGCGCAAAGGAAATAGAGAAAATATCCCGGCGATCAAAGACTATAATGACAATCCCATCACAGATCCTATAGAAAAGGCCAACACCCTAAATTCTTGTTATGCGTCTGTATTCAGTGGTTTGTGAAAAAATGCACAAATTCAATCAACCGATTCTGCTAATCCATTCAATATCAGTATAAATATCACAAGGAAGCGATTATCGGCAACTGGGAGAAAGAAATCTGTAGGGCCAGATGGTATTCCTGGGGTGATTTTAAAGTTGGGTAGGGAAGCATGATTCTGTACCTTGCAAGATTGCTGGACATAACAATGAACAACGGAGCTATCCCACGGGACTGGAAGAAGGCTATAGTGGTCCCTATTTACAAAGGGGGAGATTGGTCAGTGATGGGAACTACAGACCGATCAGTTTAACATCAGAGGTTTGCAAACAGATGGAGGAGGTTATAGCAGAATATCTAAAACAAAATTGGGAAAAGAGTGATTGGCTATATGAGGGTCAACATGGCTTTAGACCAGGGTACTTGTGCGAAAGTCAGTCAGTCACAGTTTGTCAGGATATTGCTGATGCCCTGGACGAGGCAGTCAGGACGGACTCGATCATGATAGATTTTTCAAAGGCCTTCGACTTGGTCCCACATGATAGGTAACTTACAAAAATAGCGGAAACCAGAGTGGACTTCAGGATAGTTGTATGGATACAGGATTTACTTTAGGACCGCTCACAGAAAGTCAGAGTAGACGGGCACCTAGCTGAAGACGTCAGAGTGATGTTGGGAGTAAAGCAAGAGAGCATTTTAGGACCGCTATGAAATCTTACTGGCATACTATGCAGCAGGACCCTGGTGTCACTCATCTGGCTCTGACATGTCACCATGCCATATTGCTTTCCTTCCCATCCTCCTGGCATACTATGCAGCAAGGGCCTGGGGTCACCCATCTTGTTCTGACCTGTCACCATGTCATGCTGCTGTCCTGCTCCTCTTGGCACGATGTGAAGCAGAAGCCTGGGGTTAAATTGTGCACTCACCCATCTGGCTCTGATCTATCTCCAGGTCATGCTGCTGTTTTTATTGCTGTCTTCCTTTTAGCATGCTCCTTTCTGTGTTCATACTCATTGTATTTTCCTGTTCTATGTGCACTCACATCCAAAATAATATGGTGCTGGAAACTAAGGAGATCTCTGAAACATTGCTTTTTAAGTTAACATTGACACAGTTGTTCGCCTAGGAAACTTTTAGCACAGAATGTACAAGATGCACTTGTCACAACAGAATGAAACTTTATCGCAACTTCCTGTTTTACTGTTTCTTATGATGCTATAGAATACATGTACAAAAAAGAATAAAACTTGTTTTCAGAAGCACAGTTGTGAATGGGTGTGACCGGTATTTATGACAAATGACATATACACCTTCATGTTTATAATGTAGTTCTGGTGAGACCAAAGTTTCTCATTATGGTGACCAATTTTTATAAATTTTGAAGGAACATATTGCTTTCATATTCTTCCAAAATCTCAGTGAAGTTCTAACAGACTGCACAGCATCGGATACCAGATAACCGTACTCTTCAGTTTTTGCCTTCAACATATATCTGCCGTTAACTTAAGAGGGAATTGTTTTTTGATCATTAGTTCTAACTGAACTGGACTTCTGTACATTTACCCAAACTGAATCAAGCACCACAAATAAACATTTAAATAAAAACATAAAATATGATACAGAGTTTAATTTGGTGGAAATCCACATAACAGCCCAACGTTTTTAGCAAGTTTGTATTTTTATACACATTTCTTTCAAGAAATGTACCAAATGACGAAGTTTTATTTTAGCAGGTGTAGCATTCTTTTTCTGACATTGATTTTCAAAGTCTATGGAGACCCTACTTTAAACATTGCTTGGCCCCCCCCCCGACACAGACAGAACTACTGGGAGGGTGGGAGGGAGGGCAGATGCTGGGGTGGAATGAGTCTTTAATAATATGCAACACACTTGAAAAGGGGGCTCTGTTATTTAACATTATAAAACTGACTAATAGCATTTAGAAGAAAATGAATAGGCCTGGAATTTTACTGCATGTCTCTCAGGTCTCCAACAACGTTCCCTTCCTCCAGCATCAACACAAAAAAAAAAAGAGACCAAACACAACAGTGATATGTTAACAGTGACCTTTACAGTTCTTCATTATTAATTTAGGTCCTCAATAATACATGAAACTGACTCTGACTATAGTACATGGCTCAAGAAGGTTTATCTTGATTCAAAATAATTATTCACAAAGCTATGACAGAGATGTCAAAAATGTTCATTATGGAAGCACAAAATAAGTTCTTAAAGTCATTCTTTTGTTTATTACATAATAGATCAATAAACACATTAAAAGCACAGGGAACATATTTGATGTGCACATACAGTCAGTTTATTCAATCTTACTCAAAAAACATTAAGCGGAGAAAACAAAGATAGTCTCCAAAAAACAATTTTAACTTCAAGGTGAGGGCATTTTCTCCATATAACACTGCAAAATCCTTTTCTAATTGAAATCAGTGAAGTAATCAGCTACACTGTCACAAGAAATTGGACAGGTCATGCTGGACTGCAAAACAGGCAATGAAACACAAGTAAATAGTGTTTCTTATTGCAGTCCATATCATTGCATCCTTACTCAGAATGTATGTACACATTGTTCATAGATGACTGGGAAAGACTGGGAAAACCATCAAAACTTCAGTCAGGGTAGCTGGTATCCAGATCAAGACTTCGACTGAGCACTTCCCAAATGCAAGTCTGGAGCATTATCTCTAGACAAGGGGCTCTCAAACTGCACAACGCCATGACCCCTTAAAGTAGTACATAAACTCCTCTGATCCCAACTGTGCCAGTGAGCAAAAGCTGTAGTTCTGCACATTGTTTCAGGTCCCTCTGAGGCTCTTCAGTGATGGCAGGATCCTAAATTACAATCTCTTTACAGCTGTAGTCAGCTACATAATGTTAAGAGTTCAGTCATGAAACAGTATATGAATTGTATCACCAACTGCATCAACATTTTCCCAAAAGCACTAACATTAAGTCTTATTGAAGATGTGCTCAGCTAGAACTGTATTAAAATGAGACTTGAAAAACTGGCAAGCCCCTTAGAGTTGATAGGGACCCACAGTTTGAGAATCCATGCTGCAGTAGAAGCCAGTCATAACATCTAACAAGGAAGGGGGGAGGGGGAATCAAATGTATGTTTCAAGATGCTATTCCAAACAACCATCTTT